TTTGAGTCCCGTTTCTCTTTTTGGGGTTTTTTGTTGTTCTCCCGCCCTGGCGGGGGGTCGGGCTAGAAGATCTACTAGGTCCCTTCCGACCCTTAATCTATGAATCTATGAATCTGAGTGTAACCCTTCCAGTTGTGAGTTTTGGCAAGGAAGACTGAAGCTGTGTTTGGGGCTGCCAGGAAGCAACAATTAATATGGCTGTGATGAATTATTACCAGGCCCTGAACTGGCACCTGTATTAAAGAACTTGTTCAGAGCTTGGATTTGCAGGGAACAGGGTGGATGGTACCTTCTGTATGGTGAATTTGCCTTTGACATCCACACAGCAGACAAATCAAGCCAGCCTGGGTGGTTGAGTTGCTGACCCTCCAGTGACTTGTCACAGTTGTTTATGGGCCTCAGAAGGAGCTAGTCTTGCGTTATTTAGAGCAGGGTGGGCGGTTATTTGGGCCTGAGGGTCACATATGGTGTGAGCTGTCACAGGCTGGGTCAGCACCCATCCCTGCTCCCCCAACTCACCAAAACTCCCTATGTGGGATGGGGCCCTGGGCAGCAGTGTTTATGGGTGGGTGGGGCCATGGGGTGGTAACAGTGTGGGGCCAGGGCTGGGTCAGGGCCTGCATGCCCCTACAGCAGGTGCAGTTTCCACAGGCAGGGATGTGCAGGCAGCGGTTCACAGCTCTGCCCCACCCCAGCTCTGCTGTCACCAACCCTGTCCCTGGGCCTGGATGCAGTTCCCCACCTGCCCACATGCTCTGCCTGAGCGGGTCCCTGTAGCTGTGCTGGGGCCTGGGATCTTGGGGTGATGATAGCACGGGGCTAGGGTAGAGGTGAAAGCTGCTGCTGGGCCTCACTGGGGGGATGCAGCACTCCTGACAGGGAGAGAAGAGCTGCAAGCCCCACAGAGGGGGCTTTGGAGGAAGTTAGCCTTCTTCCCCTCTCCCTTGTCTGTTCCCTCCCGCTTCCCCGGGCGTGCAGCCCACAAGTGGGGGAAGGAGGGGGTGGACCTGGCAGTGACTCCACACCCTGCCACTTGCTGGGTCCAGGACTGGGCTGGTGCTATGGCAACCCTGTCCTGTGCCAGCCTGTGCCCCAGCATGCCTGTGTGGCAGTGGCAGCCCCAGCTCTGCGGGCCCAGTGCAGGGCGGAGCCGCATGGGGACAGCCGCAGTGGCGGGAGCCTTGGTGAGTGCACTGTGTTCTTGGCTGGTCTCGATCTCCATGGAGACTGGCCCCCCGTGCCGGATACAGTTCGCCCCTGGCTGTGTGCAGTTCCATGGAGACAGGTCTGCCAGCACAGCACCCTCACCAGGATGTGCGCCCCTACTGCTGTCCCCACACTGAGCCAGCAGGGCTGGGGGCTGCATGAGCATCCCGGGGCAATCTGCGGGTTGACACAGGATGGTGCCCTGGCACTGCCCGTTGGGGCTGAGAGATGTGCTGTGGGCCAGGTAAAATTGCTCTGTAGGCCAGATCCAGCCTGTGCACCATATTTTGCCCACCCCTGACTTGGAGGACCAGGTATCCCTGTGCACCTCTCCTCAGTTGCAGTGCATAAGCAGTAGTCACTCTTCCAAAAGCTCCTCCACCCCTCAGTAAGAGTCCTTTGGGAAGGAGCCGACTCGGGTATCTCGGGGATTTTTCTTTTTGTTGTTACCTCCCTCAAACAACTCAAACAGTTTAACAGTAGCTGGTAAATGGTGACAAATCTAAACCTGACATTCTTTCTTCTCATGTTTCCTGTGCTCTCTAAATCTTTTGCCAAATAGAGACATTCCCCCCACAAGTAAAGAAGCAAGATGCAAGTTGTCTTCTGCTGGGCTAATGCTCTATTAAGAGGGCTTATTTTCATGGCCATCAGATTAATTTTAGTGACTGTCATTACTAGTCAAACTAACCCATATGGGTAGGGGTCTACCAAACTTGGAGGCGGCTGGCTGATTTTGCAGGGGTATCATGGGACTCACTGCTGCTTTCTCCAGCTGATTGCAGTGAGGGACTCCCCTTCCTCTGTCCCTAGGGCTCCAGTGGGCCCTGCTCCTTGTTGCTGATTGGCTGCATGGGCTGTCCATCATGAAGCCCCACCCCTCACCACCAATTGGCTGCAAGGACTGTCCGTGTGGAAGCCAGCATTTTATTTTCAGTAAGCTTTTTCTGTGGACATTGCCTGATTTCATGGGCAATGCCAGATTTTGCAGTTTCTGTGAAATTGTGATTTTGGTAGGTCCCTACATGTGGTTTGCTAACAGACATTGTTTTTAGAATACTGAATTACTCAAAATGATAAATTCAGACCCATGCTGTATTGGCTCAAGGTTTCATGCCCTCAAGGAGGGAGTACAACTTACCTGGAATGTTTTCAAGGAATCTAGTACAATAATTGTGTATACTGAACTCCCTCACCACCCCCTCTCCTTCCTACAGAAAAAAGAAAGCAGTTTGAAATGAAGAGAAAAATGCATTATAACGAAGGACGAAATATCAAACTGGCCAGGCAGCTAATTGCAAAAGAACTACATGGTGAAGAAGAGGATGAAGATGAAGATCAGGATGAGGAGATGCACGATGCTGCTGATGTAGAAAACATGAGTACAGAAACACCTGAACCCGGTGAGCAGCTAGATTTCTAAAAATGTTTTTAAGCATGGTGGTTCTTTTAACTACCGGAAGTCCTGGAAGACAGAAGTTTATGCTTCTCTTCCACCCTTCCCAGCCCTTGTGATTTTTTTTTTTTAATGGAATTTCCCCTTCCCTATGCAAGAGGTAAGAGTTTGTGGTGGCATCTTGTATTGGACCACCTGAATGGCTGGGACAGGCTTAGATGAGCTTTTGGGTATCACAGTACTTGAGGAAGAGTACCATGATACCCAAAAGTTTGTCTGAGCCTATCCCAACCATGCAGTTGGTCTAGTAGAAGATACCACTCACAAACTCTTGTCTTGCAAGTTTCTTGAGCTGTGATGCCTACAATGTCATTTCAGGACATGCCCGTGTCATTCATGAAGCACCTGTTACTCTGTTCAGAACCACCTTGGTGCTTTGTTTTTGGTGGCACAGTGGGAAAGTAAGCGCATACTTAAAATGCTTTAATAATTGTCAGCAGCAAGCTCTGCTTTCACTGACCAGCCTGACCCTTGCTGATGCGGCTACTAACGCTCTTGTTAAAGTGGGGACGTGTCTTGTGCTTAGCCTTAGAGGGAGCATGTTAGAGCGTGTAGGGGAAGCCTTTGTTGGCACTTGCCTACCATTCTGCCCCATCCCACCTTTTCACTAGGTAGCAGACATCGGAGTGCATGCTACTGCAGTGTTAAGAGTAGAGGAAGTCTCTACCCATTCTAGTTAAGAATTTCTTGCACATGATACTGCATCTTGCATCTGTTCAGGTAAGACTGTGGCATGCAGTTTTCAGTGTTATGAAGAGAATGTACATGCTGTATCTGCAATGAGAAAATCAGCCTCTTGGTCAGCCCCTTGTGGTAAGGGGCTGGGATGCTGAGGTGGGTGCTGTTTCTGGAAGCTCCATCAGGGCTTCGTGTTTTGTTTTGACCGCTACCTGGCCGATTGCCACTTCTAGCTATTGGAGAGCTCCTTGGCTGGAAAGAATAGAGCAAAGTAATGCACACTCTGTTTTTTGTGGCAGCCTTCCCATGAATTAACTATAGTAATATGCTGCCTACCTCTGCTGCTGTTCCAGGCTCTTTGAAATAGTTGTTGGCATTATGAAATTTGAGACAACTTGTTCCTGCGACACTTACAAGACTGTAGTAACAATGAGTCTGAAGTCTTGTTACCTTTACTCAGCTGCTGCTTGGGAAGGCTAAGAGAGGCACTAGAGCCGTCTGCAGACTTGGGAAGATGCTGCATTGGCTTACACCTGGTTCATATTTGTAAGGCTATATTCACAATCACATGGACTAGAAAAAATAGCTTCTCTAAAATGAGATTAAATGCTGCAGAATAGTTTATACCCTCACCCCACTCCAGATGAAGGAGATTTAGCAAGTGGATTTTTCAGTACTTGGCTCTCCGTCGAAAAATTCTGGCACCAGTATTAATTACAAGAGGCTAAAGCCCATGATAATTGCTTCAAAAGAGTCGTACCTGGACTCTAAAAAGTATCTGTCCTGGACTCTAAGTGATTAGACTTGTGCTGTAATGCATAATACTGGGCCTCCTTATAATAGCTATTTACTAGAGCTTCACTCTCCAGGGGAAAGAAGGGCTCCAGTAGGCATCTTTATGACCTTTCTCCATGGCTTGAAGCTGCCTTCTTTCTGCACCCTGCTATAAAGCAGGGAGGCAACTCCGCTCCCCAGCTGCGTTCTTCACTGAAAAGAAGGGCACACCTTTGCAGCATTTTTCCATCTCTGCTGTTGAAGTCATTCCATTCTACTTCATAATCCGACTTCTGAGCTACACTGGTAACTATCAATTTTGACTGACTGCTCGTGCCCAGTTGACTAGACTAATATAGCTAACACTTTATTTACCAGCTTACCAGTCAATTAACTCCTCTAACTGGTTTGTCTTGAATTTCCCAAAATAATGGATTATTTTTCCATTAACTTCCTGCAGTTCTCAATTTATTCTTTATTTTGTCACTTTGCCTAGTAAATTGAATATTTCCTCATTTTTATCTCTCTACAATAAACTAACCTGATTCACTTTTGGTCCATCTGCCTAAATATTTTTTTTTAATTAAATACTTTTCTCTCTTTGGCTGCTGGTGGATTGAAAATGTTCGTAAGTTACTGATTCAGTGTTTGACTCTGGGAAGTATGAGGTGGCAAAAGCGCAATGGACTCCAGTCAAAACTGTTAAACATTTTGTTCTGGCCTTTAAATTCCACCAGCCTTTGTAATGTTGTCTACAATGAGGCCGATGAGAGACCTGATAGTTTTGGATTAGATTCAACAAGTCCCTGAACAGGCAACAAGTCCTTGTTCAGAAGCACAAGCAGAAGAGCTTAAACTGTGATCGAGTTTGAAGTTCATATTACTTGAGTGAGCCTGCTGGTGATGGCGTCCCTTCAAGTTGTCCTCTGTCACCTTAGATGCTCTCTGGACAAGAAAATACTTTGCATCATAACTCTTACAATAGGGTGGGATGGTTCTTGAACAACTGGAAAATTAGGTGCAGTTCTATAAACTCCATTCTTGGATTCCTTCATAGATTGTAAAGGGCTGAAGGGACCTCGGAAGATCAGTGGGTCTAGCCCCCTCCCCCTGCACCAGGCAGGAAAGGGAGCCGGGGTCAGGTGACCCTAGCGAGGTGACTGTCCAGTCTCTTCTTAAATTTCCAGGGTAGTTGATTGTACCTGGGGGGAGCTTATTCCACAGTCAACCTTTTAACGATCTCTTTGTAGGCATGCTGTTCACCTGGATACCTGGTCAACATTTTTATTTGATCCAGTGCCGGACAGAAAGAGTCTTAGTGCTGTTGATCCTCATGTTCCCAGAGCTGCCTCTTTGGCCCCTAACTGTTGAATTTCTTGGATCAATCTGAAGCTGTTTGGAAGGAGTGTGTGTGTTTATTGTTGTTGTTACCAATTCTCCAGGGAAGCACTTGTTTGGAATTCCATGTCTTGCCCAGTCTCTTGGAGCACCCCCTGAAACCAGCTTAGGCGTGGTTCTTAGGGAGGGTGAGCCTCTGGCTCCTTGGACTCCAAGACTTGGCCTTTTGGTCCATGGTCCCCCTGGTTATCTATGGGCCCTGCCCAGAGAGGTACCTTCTGGCTGAGCTTGTAGAGAGGACTTTGCTGTTTCAGGGGACTCTAATTGCTGTCTTGTCATTTTCTCAGGATGGTCTCTGCTTTCAAATGTCATCTTAGCACTGGAAACAGTAGGCAGTCTCTTCAGGTGCTGAGGGTGGAGTCCACTAGGTGCTATGATGAGGCTTCATATGTAGACTGCCTCATTGCTCCCTTGATGGCTTATTTTCCCACTAATAGAGAACTTGGGTTCTTATATGCCTACTTCAATTTTGAGTAGTAAGAAACTGATGCATCCTGTATGTTGGTCTTGAGTGGGATGATGTAGTTGGGGCTGGTCCTGCTTTGAGCAAGGGGTTGGACTAGATGTGACCTCCTGAGGTCCCTTCTAGCCCACTTTGTCTATGATTCTTTATAGCCCAGTTCCTGATGACCTTTTGAATTTGACTGACTTCTCATCATACTTGTGCAACAAGTTGTTGAGGTTTCATAGATTTCATAGACATTAGGGCTGGAAGGGACTTCGCAAGTTCATTGGATCTAGCTCGGTGCCCAAGGGGCAGGAAGTCAGATGGGGTCAAATGATCCCAGCAAGACAGGTGTCCAAGTGTTTCTTGAAAGTGTCCAGAGTAGGTGCTTCCACCGTCTCTGGGGGCAGTTTATTCCAGGCCCTGGGGACTCGGATGGTAAAGAAGTTTTTCCTTCTGTCCAGTCCAAAACAGTCTTCCAGGAGTTTTGTGGCCATTGGACCTCATCTTCCCACAGGTTCCCCTTTACCTGTTAGACCAACAAAGTTCCATGAAGTTGTGTGATAATGAACTAGGTCAGGAAGTATGGTTGGTTAGGACAGTGATTCATTTGTATGTATTCATTGATGGTTTCTCAAAGAGGATGAGGTAAAGGAGGTTCAAAAGGAGTTGCTGACTTTAGGGCTCCAGCTGGTGATAGGTTTCTCTGGATGCTGATTATGTTGCTTATCAGTTGGAGTTCCTTTATGACTGCCGTTTCACTTGTTTAGTGCTGCTCCAGCTCTGTGCTTTTGTTTACTTTTTGGTGGGTCTTTTCTTTTTTAAGCTTTTTAAAGCTGGGAATAATCTCTTTTAAGTCCTGTCTCTAGCCTCCTGCTTTACACTGTCATGCATTGAGGAGCGGAAAACAAGCCAGGCAGAAGAGCGTGGCTCTGGCTTCCCATCCACCCATCTGTGCAGTGGCTGGCACAGGGGCTGCTGGCGTGCAGCCATGGGTACCCCTTGTCCATGGGACTCTGTGCAGGAGTGATCAGTGCAGTTACTTCCTTATTCAGGGCTGGACCTCAGTTCTCAGTACTCTCGTCTCTTCTGAATGGCACTATGTGTTCTTGAATTCCACTTCCTGCTGTGGAGTCCTTGGGCAGTGTGAGATCCCCTTTGTGCTAGTAAATGTGTACTTGCCTCCTGAGATATTCCCTTTCTGTGAGACCTTCCTCTAGAATTATCTGCACGTGGGGTTTTCTGCCTCATGGAAAGTTTACTCAGCTGTTTGGTAGGTGGCAACTTTAATGCTTTCCCATTTACACCTACAAAATGATAAAGGGTTATTTCCAAAAGGCAAGGTGGGATATGACTCTAATTGTTCCCTTGCTTTCAGCAAGGAATGAATGATCAGCTGTACTTGGCTTGCCATATTCTAATTAGTCATTACATTTTGCCTGCTACCGTTTATGCTTACCTTTGACTAACCTGACTTCATACAAGTGGTCATCACTCCTTGCAAGGAACAGTATGGTGTTTGCTTTGACTGTTTTATGGGTCTAAAATTTTCAGGTAACTGTTATAATTCTGTTATGTAAAATGTGGGCCTGAATTTAGTGACTTCAAGCTTTGCACTGTAGTAGTGTTTAGTTTAGATATGGCTGTGATGGCAGCTGTTCTGTGGCAAGGGAGTTGAACTGGGAAACCCTTTAATGGAGTTGACATAAGGTTATTTTGCTCTCCTGCACAATAGAGTAAGAGATTTGTATCATGCACTGCTATGGGCATTTGAAGACCTAACATTTTCCCAATATCACTTAAATTGGCTACAGATCTGAACAGCACAGCAAAATAGTGTTCTTCCATCTCAAACTTCTGTATTTGGTCCACCTCAGATTACAGATAAAGCTAAAAGGTATGTAGTTGGCCTGTGTTTCAGGTGCTTTCTGCCTTGAGCTCTGGAAACTGGCAACTCAAAACATCAAGTTCTTGCGTGGTGCAGCAGTGACTTCTGTGATGCTCTTTCTATGCTGAGAGGTACTGCTTTCTTCAGCAGTTTTGGAAAAAAAAGAAAACTGAACTCTCTCTGGAGTGGTTGAACTTGCAGAATATAAAAGGGGATGGGAAAGTACCCTGATGCATACCAAAATTTGCTGATGTTACTTTTGTTTTTTGTGGGAGGACCTCAGAAGTATGTGTGCTGTTTGACAACACGGGGTTCAGATCCTCAACCTTTTTGGACTTGAGGTATTCCTTCAGACCTTCTGTAAATTGAGTGGCACCCAGTTTCAAAAGCTAGTTCATGTATTTACTGCTGGTCAGTTGGGGGTGCGGATCCACCATGTAGGGAGGGACAAGCCTCAACTTGCGATTATCTGCATATCTCAACACACCCTTGTTTTGAGAATTGCTGGTTTAGACTATGAATACTTAAATCCCTTTATAATCTCTTTTTTTTTCTTCCGCAGCACATGCTACTAGTGACCAGCTGGGGAATAGAGCACACAACGTAGAAGAAATCTGTCCAGAACTGTAACTGCTTGTGAAAGACACAAACTTAAACACACTGCTTCATGGTTTTTGCAATTATGGCTCTTAAATGCTGAAAAGCATATCAGTTACACTATTGTATTGCCAAGAATGTCAATAACCCTAGACTCATATTAGGCAGAAAAACTGCCTAACTGGTTTATTCTTGTGCCTAGTATCTCATGGAGAATACTGCGTCAGCATCCATCAACCCAGAATGGCATTGCTGTATACAACACTGAGTAACTTGTGTAACATACTGTCACTCGTCATGCTTTAAAATACACAAAGCGGTATCTTTGGTTTTGTTCGCTATTTATTTGACAATACTCTAGATGTGATATCTTGTGGAAGAGTTTGGAGTTTGAGCCAAAGCGTACAGCAGATACCAGGTTGACATTGTATTAATTTACTTATATGATAAATTTAGCATTGAAAAGGGATTATTTTAGTATTGTAACTCTTTTTCTGTAGATTTTTTGACCTATTCATATAGATTTGAGTTATGCCATGACTCCTGTTTTTCCCAATCTTTGTAACAGAAGAGCTGAATTATTTTTGTGGCTTCAAAATGCTGCGTTTGAAATCCATTATTAGTTTCTGATTGAAACTGCACTGATTTCTGGTGGGGTATTTTTCCACTAGAGATGTGCTAACTTGAATGCTATAGCCGGTTGTTATCCCTCTCTTCCAGGACCGCTAGATTGGTTTTGGAGCTTTCCTTATTTACCTGTCTTGTCAGAACTTGAGTGTTTACAGCTCTTCAGACCATGCTACAAAACATTACTCTCCAACGATTCCCTTAAGATGGGGCTCAAAACCCTCTCTGCCTTCCCTGTTGCTATGATGTGTACTTGTGCTGTTACCATCTGAGAAGAAGTAGCTGTCTGAGTAAATCCACATCAGGGCAGTGGAGATGGGGAATGATGTGTGCTTGTGTGGCATCAGCTCTTCATGCCACCCAGGTGACTACTGGTGACCTCATCCCTCTTGGGGTTTGTAACCCAGGCTGTGAAAACCACTGGCTTGTGTCTCCTGATCTAATGCAACTTGCAGTAGTTGATTCTGTAAAATGAAGGCTTTTGGGAGGAATAGCTGGGAGGCTGCCATGTAACTTGACATACTGTTTACAGGGTGGTTGATAGCCCTGATGGAGAGACATCACTGAACCTCCAGGTTACTGTAAACAAAATCCCACTTGAAGGATTTTGACTGTGGTGAATGTTCTAGTATTCAAGGTAGTACTTGGTTTTATTATACGGATGAAGTATACTTAAAGCTGTGGCTTAGTTTTGGAATACTTTGTATTCTGTTATGTCTATTTCTCTTAGTTTTGATCTAAACTTGAGATATTGCAAAAGTTCATATAATTATATGGACTTATTTTAATGACTTTCTGTCTACTGTACATGTGAAGTTTGAATAAAAGAATGAAAGTTATTTTACAGTTACTCGGATTCTTGTGTGTGAGCTTTCCTGAAACTTAGGGTATGCAGAATGAATGAAGGGCAGGCACACTTGTCACTGGGAAGCTGTGGTACTTCTGTGGGATATTGCAGTAGACAAAGATCTGTATGTGAGCTGTGCCAAATGGTGTTTTCTAGCATCCCTAATTGATGCTTTTCTAAGCTAAGTGTTGTCAGATCTTGTGACATTTCTGGTGGTATTTTCTTTAAGGTCCAAATCTTGGGTGAATAGTTTCAGGGAAGGGAGAAGTGAGAATCTTTTTTTCTCCAGATCTCATGGTTGCAGAGGATGTATTGGACAGTATGGACCATAAGGTTTCAAATCAGAAGGCAAGCAGAACCTCATGGCAATGAGTGGAGGGATAACAAAAGAGGCTGACTTGATTTATGAGGGCTTGGGATCAGCAGAGAGCTTCTCAGATCTGTTTTGGTTGCTTGTGCAAGACCCCAGTTGAAAGGCCTCTTCTATTTTAATAATATAATAATAAAAAAATACAGCTTGATAAGCGTTGCTTTGAGTCAGATCCTGAGATGCTGAGGCTCCTGCTGGATGTGAGACGATAGATTTGTCGCTTACAGAATTTGTCACATATTCCATGGTATTAGGTCCTTTCCAGTTTCTCTTGACACATGAGTTCCTAGTGTGTGTGTGTATGTGTGGGGATGACGACAATGTGTGCTGGATTTTTTTATGCTGTGTGTGGTTTCTTCCTTTTATTCTGCAGTTCTTTTTGGATGCCTTTTACCTCATGCACTGCCATGACCCAAGTAAAAGCCAGTGTGTATTCTTCCTAAAATGTCACTAAGTGGTAGAGCTGGCTTGCTAGATTTACAGACTTGTGATGGACAGATCCAGGTGCCAGTACTTGTTTGACTTTGCATAGTTCATTTTTCAGTGTTGACTATATTCAGCATTGTAAACCCATTCTTTCCAATACTGCATGTGCCGTCTGTCAGTTGGGGACAAACATAGCAAACGGTGTGTAGTAGAGACGGCAGTTTAAAACTTTTAGGTTCTGAACCTGCATATATTGATTGTCCAGGGTCTCGTTTTCCTCTGAGGTCCTATGGAGAAGCTGCTGTTTGTATCCTTGGGGACTTAAAATAACCCCAAAACAAAAACATTAAAAAAAAAA